GTGTTTTATAGTTTTCTATGTATAGGTCTTTTGTTTCTTTAGGTAGATATACTCCTAAGTATTTTATTCTTTTTGTTGCAATGGTGAATGGTATTGTTTCCTTAATTTCTCTTTCTGTTTTCTCATTGTTAGTGTATAGGAATGCAAGGGATTTCTCTGTGTTAATTTTATATCCTGCAACCTTACTATATTCATTGATTAGCTCTAGTAATTTTCTGGTAGAGTCTTTAGGGTTTTCTATGTAGAGGATCATGTCATCGCAAACAGAGAGAGTTTCACTTCTTCTTTTCCTATCTGGATTCCTTTTACTTCTTTTTCTGCTCTGATTGCTGTGGCCAAAACTTCCAACACTATGTTGAAGAGTAGTGCACACCTATATTATTAAAGCAAAATGGATGGATATAGTTTCCCCTACCTTTTGCCATACTTACCTCTCAGGCAGCAGGATGACTTTGGGGGACATTACCTTCCTTTTTTAGCCTCTGAAGGGTGCTCTTGTTAGTCATTTAAATCAGTTGTCAGCGGGTTAAACCAGTAGGACACAGAGGACCATGTAGGGACCCTTTATCACCCTTATCTGTATAGGGAAAAATTGGCCTTATTTGCTTAATTGAGGGAGGGGAAGAGGATGGATCCTCTTTGCTAGTTTAAGCCAAGTGGGAAACTTTATTCTAACTCGAGCCCCAGAGATCATATATCTTGAATAGAAAAGCTGACAGATCTGAGAACTTTGAGAGAAAGTGGGAGCCATTCATTTCAGCTTGTTGGCTTATCTTTCTGTATTTCTTAGAGCCCCAGTCCTCCTCTACCCGAGGCAGGCCTCCTGCCACTCAAGAGAGAGAAGTGCAGACTCAGTAATTCAATACTATCTGTGAGCTCCCTGGGATCTGGGGTCAAGGGGCTTTCATGGAAAAGGCTGTTACCCAGGGGATCTTCCCTATGCTTTCTGGGATCTCTCAGGGGATCAGGAGTCAGGTCCTGGTCTCAGGATCTCACAGTCTTATGAGATCCCAGGCCTAAATCTGAGATTTCCTCTGCAGCTGATGTGGTCCTGGACCCAGACACCTCTCATCCCGAGCTCTTCCTGTCAGAGGACCGGAGAAGTGTGAGAAGGGGCCCTTCCAGGCAGAGCGTGCCTGACAACCCGGAGAGATTTGATTGCCGGCCTTGTGTCCTGGGCCTGGAGAGCTACTCCTCAGGGAGACATTACTGGGAGGTAGAAGTCAAAAACGTGATGGTGTGGGCTGTGGGGGTTTGTAGAGACAATGTTGAGAGGAAAGGGGAGGCCCTCCTGGTTCCTCAGAACGGCTTCTGGACCCTGGAGATGTTTGAGAACCAATACCGCGCCCTCTCCTCCCCAGAGAAGATTCTCCCCCTGAAAGAGCGCCTTCACCGGGTGGGCGTCTTCCTGGACTATGAAGCTGGAGATGTGTCCTTCTATAACATGATGGACAGGTCACACATCTACACATGTCCACGTTCACCCTTCTCTGGGCCCCTGAGGCCCTTCTTCAGACTGGGTTCTGATGACAGCGCCCTCTGTATCTGTCCATCGTTTAGAGGGGCCCAAGGGGTCACAGTGCCTGAGGGGGGCCTGGTCCTTCACAGGGCAGAGACCCACCACAACCGCCAATTCCCTGGTCTCACAGCCAGGTAGGGAAACTCAGGCCACCTCTACCACAGCACCACCTGGAGGAATACCACCCTCCTTCCTTCTGGTCACAGGAGACTCTCCCCCAGGGTTCCCCTAGACCTGTCTTCAAGCCCCAGAGCATGTGTCTCCCTCATTAGGCTATTGCTTTAGTAGCTTGTTGCATGTAACCATGGGGCAGGGGCCAGTCTCAGGGATGCTAAGTGCTGCCGCATAGCTACCAACCAACAAGTAAGTGTGAGAAAGTGACAGGCAGAGAACCAGCTGCTTTAACATTGGATGACGCATTCAGCCTGAGACTGGAATTGACATCAGGTATTGTGGATCTGGGGATTCCCTAATAGCTCAGTTGGTAAAGAATCCACCTGCAATCTGCTGGAGAAGGGGTAGGCTACCCACTCCAGTATTCTTGGACTTCCCTTGTGGCTCAGCTGGTAAAGAATCTACCCGCAATGCGGGAGACCTGGGTTTGATCCTGGGGTTGGGAAAATCCCCTGGAGAAGGGAAAGGCTACCCACTCCAGTATTCTGGCCTGGAGAATTCCATGGACTGTAACATCCATGGGGTCACAAAGAGTCAGACACGACTGAGCAACTTGCACTTTCACTTTCACTGTGGATCTGGGGCGAGGACAACAGGACATACTAGATGTAAGAGGGGCAGGGAGCCAGGAATGGAGGTCAGAGATGGAGGAAGTAAGACAGAAGGTCCACCCCCAGGATTTCCAGAGCACACAGTAAAGCTCCACAGGCCTAGATTCAGGATGATCTAGGATGAAGGAGGATGAAGGACAAGAATGCATCTGGGCCTGGCCTGGCCTGGCCTGGCTCAGGTGTCCCTACAATAAACAAGGCATCAGTACTTTGTTATTGGGTATGGCCTAAGGTTTAAGGTCCCAGATGAGCAGATAAGCATTGGACCAAGTGGGTCTCAAAGTTCAGGTTCAGTGAGTAGAGCAGTGCTTTCCAGCTTTTTGGCCTCAGGATGCATTTAGACACATAAAAAATTATTGAGGACAGAAAAGTGCTTTTGCTCATTTGGGTTATATCTATCAATATATGTGGCATTAGAGATTAAACTGAGAACTTTTTTAATTTATTTATTAACATATTAAAAAAGGATCAAGTCAATTATAGGTTAAAAAGAAAAATATGTTTCAGGAATGATCACTATCTGTTGTTTCCCATGTAAAATAAAGTTTATTGAGAAGTGTGGTATTTTTTTATGTTTTTGCAAATCTAATGTCTGGCTCCTAGAAGGTAGCTAGATCCTCACCATCTGCCTCTGTATTCAATGCTGGAATCACAGGTCATGGAGGCTCTAGAAAGCATTATCTACACTAGTGAGAGAATGAGAGGAAAAATGATAAATAAGAGCTTAGTATTATTATTATGGACCAGTATTAACTTTGTAGACTCAAAATGTAACAGAGATGGCCCCCCCAAAAAATCTGTAAAACATCCTTTGAGAACCAGGATAGAGGATCCTGGAATTGAGTCAGGCATTTAAAATTATGACATAAATGGGAGTATTTTGGACTTTATGTAATTCAGTCATCCAATTGTAAAACCTGGCTGAAAATTTAAAAGATACTTATAAAGTTCAAAATTGTATTACTGCAGTTCCTACAGTAAACAAGGCGTCACGATGGACACGTTCTAGAAAAGAATCTGGAACATTGAACTTGGTGATTTGTTGAGATGGAAAACTGGTTTATTAATGTGCGTGTGTTTTATTTTTGGTACTATTGACATGATAACATTTGAGCAGTTTTAACTAAAAGCACCAGACTGCGAGTCAGGAAACAAGTGCTACTAATACCTGCCTGTATTAATCTTAGAAAAGTTACAGCTTTTCAGTGTTTTGGCATTCCATAAAATAAGACTTTGAGTGGGTTTGCATATCTTTTAGTATAGTTTACAAAACACTTTTATTCATTCAGTATCCTTGCTTTCTCATAAGAAATATACTGATCCCCATTTCACAGTGAAACAGTGTTGTCTAGCAAGTTAAAGTGATTTTTGTCATTGTTTAAGGAAAATAGAGTTTTCATTCATACTTTTAAAAAAAATTGTCTCATCTTTAAGGCACCTTCTAAACATAAAATTTAGATGTTTTAAGTGTTTATTGAAACTAAACATGAACCCAATGCTCTGCTAATCACTGTACAAAATAGCATAGAGCTCAGCTCCCAGCTTCCTTTACTCAATCTTTCATTCATATATTTACTTATTCATTCACTCTCAAGAAATTTATCACCTTTAATGTATTGACCATGTGCAGTCTGTTGTGCCATGAAGGAAATAAATAAACAGGATCATATTATAGAGAGGAATGGGTGGGAGCTGAGGAGGGCTACTTTAGATAGAAAATTAGATGGTAAAGTTAAGGAGGGCTTCCTGAAGGAAGTGATGGGTCTTCTGAGACTTGAGGACTAAGAAAGATTCCCAAGCGGCAGGAATCTTGTGCCTACGGGCCCCAAAGCAGAAATAAACTAACTAGTTAAAGAACATAACCCCCTACTGCCAGAGCAAAGACTGAGAATGGGACAAACAAGTAGAAAGGAACAACAGGAAATAGGTAGAAAGCAGACAGACTATCTGGGGCCTCATAGCAAAGTGCTGAGAACCAAACTGAAGCAGAATCTTACTGAAAATCAAACCTCAAGTGAACAGAAAATGTCTGGAGTCACCCGAGTGTTATTATTCCTCTTCCTAAAAGGATTATTATTATTATTTTTTTTTTTGGCCACACTGCACAGCTTGCAAAGCACAGAGTCCTAACCACTGGACCATCAGGAAGGTACCAGATTACTCACTCTTAACAGCATGGGGAATTAAATATCCAGACTTTCCTTCTTCCTGGATTTGGGGCCTGGCAGGGAGGTGGAGTAGAGTATGGAGAAAAGGGGAATGGCCCCCGGGGACTTTGCCCTTCCGTTGGGTGTCACGAGCTGAGCCCGGTATAATGAGCCCAGCACTCTCAGGGGCTGAGAGCCACAGTGTCTGCGGCTCCCATCCGGACTCTTGGTTCTGACTGTGACTTGGATTCAACCCCAAGAGGAGATTCAACCCCCAAATGTCGGGTGACTCCAGACATCTGTTCAGATTCAAAGAATTCTGAATCAAGACCTTCTAGTGGAAGTTTTTCAGATTTTTGGCATCTTAGTTTAATTAAAGAGAAACTTTAAAAAAAATTAATATTGAAGTAATAGTTGATTAACAATGTTGTGATAGTTTCAGCTGTACAGCAACGTAACTCAATGATACATATCAAAGAGAGATTTTAATCTTTTACCTCAGATGGACTGGGAGTTATCACCAGTGATTACTGGGTAATAGTTTCCTCAGTGGTTAATCTTGTGCCCCTTTGATCCTCGTGTGGAGGAGAGTGGGCTGGGCCAAGGAGGGAGGTGCGGTGGGGGGTTTGGAAGTTAGGTCTTCTTGGCACATCCTGCCATTATTAGAAGTTTTCTCAGCTTAAGGGAAAGTGAAACTTACATATCCCTGGACTCATGGAGAGCTTTCCTTAATCACATAACTATTTACACAGGCTTGACAGGTAACAGCCAGGCACATTGCTGCCAGGCTGGTTCACAGGATCATTCCTTTTTCTCCCCAGTCTCCCTGATGCTTAGCTCTAAATCAACCCTTTCATACCATAAAACACAAGGTATGTATATAATCAAGACTTTTTAATTATAGTTACTATTAATGATCAAGCTTAGAAGACTTTGATATTAGAGACATAAATAATCTGACACAGATAAAGTATATGTACAATTATCAGTAAATAAGCTAACATTTATAATGCAAGCAGTCTCTTGGGACTATGAATCAGCACACATGTAGCTTATTCTTATATCCATCTAACAATCATTGACTGTTGGCCATGAGCCAAGCACTGTCTAGGCTTTGATGAAAATAACAGTAATTATGACAGGTGTCATGCATGGAGTATTTCAACTAGGGAGCACACCCATGCTTCGTGGCCGTACTTTCTACTGACCTTTCATTATGTAGCCTTGACTGATTGAATCATGGACCACATAATGATTGAACTCCTCTCCGGCCCCTCTCTCTTCCTGAGTCAAGCTGAACACAAAAAGTTCAAATCCTCAATCCCGTTGGCACATGATTGGCCTTTCTGTTTTGCTGACTCACCATCTCATTAGAATAAACTCTCAGGTTCAGTCCAGTGAGCTCAGCAGGACTAACACAACACTCTTAATACTTAGGAAATTCCAAGGGTTTAGGTTATTTCCCAGGAGATTAGACAAAGGCCAGACCTCTTACTACACAGTTTGAAAAACAATATCAAGGGGAAAGGACTAGGGTGCAGTTGGATTTGGGCTACTACCAGAATAGAAAGATCAGAGCAGCCAAAGGATGGTAGGGAAAATAGTGGACAGGCCAGAGAAATAGGGAGAGCCAATTCAGTATGGACTCTTGAGGTAGCAAAAGGAGTTTGTGTTTTCTTCTAACTATAATTGGAAACTATTATTGTAAACAAGGAAGTAACAGAACAATTTCTGTTAATTCCCTGGTGGTCCAGTGATTAGGTTTCTGCATTTTCACTGCTGAAGATGAGTTCAGTTCGAGGTGGGTAAAATAAGATCACTGCAGGGTGAGGCAAAAAAGAAAGAAAGAAAGAAAAGAAAGAATTTCCTTTTAAAAGAGAAAAATAGAAAAATTTGAAGATGTTATACTAGTGAACTTGATGTTAGAGAAATGGGTAGCCTCCAGAAGCTAGTGCTGGGCACACTGCTCCAGAACATAGCACCTTGGCATATAGAATATCTTAAGATGAAGAAGTCTAAGAAAATTGCAGGAGGAAGGCACCTGCCTCTCACCTTTTCTTCCCTGAAAGCAGAAATATAAATTCCACATATGAAAGGTAACTTCCCTGTACCAGGTAGCAAGAAGATGTCTTTATCACCAAGGGGAAGGCTATATAAACAAACCTGTTATTTCTTCACAATTTACTTCACAATTGACCCTTACCCTGAGCCCCTTTGTCTCATCAATTCCTCACTATTGTTTCTTTGCCTAAAATGGATTGAAACTTCCTGCTCTGGCCACTTCTTCAGGTCTTTAATCTCTTGTGAGATCTCTCAAGTAACACATGTAAACATTCAATAAATTTGTATGCTTTTCTCCTGTTAATTTGTCTTTGTCAGTTTAATTTTCACAGCCAGGGATCCTCAGAGAGTTGATTTTTATTTTTTATTAAAAAATTTTTTTATTGATGTGTATTTGCTGTACAATATTATATAAGTTACAGGTGTAGAATATAGTGAGTCACAATTTGTAAAGGTTATAGTATATTTAGTTATTGTTAACTATTGTAAACTACTATATCCTTGTAGTTTATACGTAATAGTATTCCCCTACCCCTATATTGCACCTCCTTGAAGGTTGTTTTTTAATAAGATACCACTGCACTTCTAGGAACAAGTTTCTACATTGGGTACTTATTGCTAAGTAACAAATCATCCTAAATGTTACTGGCCTAAAATAACACTCAGTTGTTATTATTCATATGTCGAGGTGTCAGCTGAGTGTAGCTAATCTAGTCCTCAACTCAGCTGGGCTTTTCTGCTTCAAGCTGCTGTGGCTAAGCAGCTCAGCTTCTCATGTCAAGTCTATGAGTTGGCTGGGACAACTATTCCACTTGTCTGCTATCCTAAGACTAAATGGCTGATCAAAGCAGTTTCTTCTTATGACAGTCAGTTCCTTATGGTGTTCAAGAGTGAATGGCGGGGACTTCCCTGGAGGTCCAGTGGTTAAGACTCTGCACTGTCAATGCAAGGGGAGAGAGTTCAATCCTTGGTTGGGGAACTGAGATTCCACATGCCATGGCCAAAAGATAAAAGGAAAAAAAAAAAAGGTGAATGGAAACAGGCAAGGCACCTCAAGAGGTCTTGGAATAGACATATTGTCAATTTCTACATGCCACTGCTTAAAGTAAATCACATGGTCAAATGCAAAAGTAAGAGGTGGGGAAATATACTTTACCATGATGAGACCATACCAAAGATGAGGTTTCCGGGAGGATTGAAGGACTGAGGTTAGTAATTCAATCTTTCACACCACTGTTCAAGATCCACCAAATTTCTATATCTTCCTCAAAACCTTCTAGTAGTATTTCCATCCCCAGTGCTCCTCCTATCTCTAGACATGGGCTGGTATTTCATACCCTTTTAGATAACTTCCACTCAAAAGTCATCCTAGTCTAGAAATTAAGGAATATGATTCCAGATTTTTCAAAGTTGGAAGGGACTCTAAAGGTTATAATGCCCCAAATATGTTTAGATCTGAAGGAAAATGCAGACTCTGATTGAGGAAGAAAGAAAGAAACAAGCCTAGCAGAGGCTATAGTGTTCTTCACTTAAACATCTCACAGACACCAACATCAGACAAGACCATTCTGTGCTTGTGATGGAGAGAGACAAAAACAAATCCACTCTATGATCTTGTCAGCACAGGCAAAAACAAAACAAGGACACAAAGCAAGCCACAAAACTGACCATACACCTCCCTCTTTCGGCTAACTGCAGTAATTGCTACATCTTTACCAACTGCAATTTATTTATTTAATTTTGGCTCCACTGCCAGGCTTGTGGGATTCTGATTCATCAACCAGGGATGAAACCTGGGCACCTGCAATGGAAGCTCAGAGTCCTAATCACTAAACTGCCAGGAAATTCCCACCAATTGCAATTTTCGCCCACTCTGTTCCTTTACTTTCTAATAAAAATTATTGGAATATTCACTCCTACAACAGCCCACTGCTTTCTGACAGCTTTCATCCAGAACAAACCCTTCTTTCCTTGAACCTCCCCCAAATCCAACACAGTCCTAAATCCTGTAATATCTAGTGCACCTGCTCTCACTGATACACTCCTTACCTCCCAGCCCCACATGGTGTGTGGAATCCACACTACTGTAACAAGAACCAACAAATCCAATTTCATTCAACTACAGGTGGGATTTGGCTGTGGCCTTCAACATGGTCACAGGCAAGCCAGGCCCCACTATCAGCCTCCAGCGCTCACTCCCATCCACATCAAATTTGGCCCCAGACTTTCAGTTCCTCAGATACAGCAAAATCTCTCAGTGTCTAAAGCCAAGAGGAACTTCCCACAGATTTCTCAGAACAAAAATTGAAACAAAAAGCATTCTTTGTTCATGATGTATCTATAATTTTTCAGTAATCAAGTATTCACAGAAGGGAACAGTCACTCCATTGTGCATTTCATGCTCACATTCCATCCTCTTTCCTACATCTTTAAGTCAAATCTTAATGGGTAATTTTCCAAAGAAATTCATACAAGAACTTGGAGAATTCTGGTGTTTCCTCCATTGTTCTATAAACAAGGCTTTGTATTTCTCCCCCTCCCCCCACCACCTCTCTTTTCATAAGAGAGTAGCATGGAAGGCCTTGTATTTCTTATAAAACCTCTCTGTGAAAACCTCAAAGTAAGATCAGACCAATAATGAATTCATGATTGTTGGTTGGTTGCTTAGTCACTAAGTTGTGTCCAACTCTCTACAACTCAAAGGACTGTAGCCCATCAGGCTTCTCTGTCCATGGGATTTCCCAGGCAAGAATACTGGAGTGGGTTGCCATTTCCTTCTCCAGGGGATCTTCCCGAACCAGCGATTGAATCCACGTCTCCTGCATCGGCAGGTGGATTCTTTGCTGCTGAGCCACCAGGAAAGCCCTGATGAATTCATAGCCTGCTTCTAACATTCTAAACTCTGTGTTTTCATGTTTTCTATAGCCTATCCTCCAGAGGGCTAATGTAGCCCTTCTTTGGAGGACTTTATCCCACCAAGTAACAGAAAGAGAGGATCAGTGGGGGGGATTCTGGGAACTACTCAGAGTGGCTACTGTAACCCCAACTTCTTCCTTATATCCTCTTATTTATCCCTTGCACAATCCAATCTCACTTTATTGGCTCCCATACATTCCCTTCCTGAGTCTCTTCTTTGTTCTAGGAACCCTGTTTCAAAAGTATTTCCAGGAATATGACTCAGAGATGTCACCCCTCAACCAGTCCTCAGACTCTTGCTTCAGGGGGACACGTTTAACCTCACTCCGCCCCAGGAATGCTGCCCTTCTACACAAAAATCCATCACACCTTCCTCGGGCTTCTTCAGTTCCTTTCTACTCACCCTTTACATACACAAATCTGTTGTGCTATAATGCACATAATTTTTTTCTTGTAGTTTTATTGAGCTCTAAGTCACAGAGCACTGTATATGTTTTAGGTGTACAGCATAATGATTTGACTTAAATACATCAGGAAATGATCACCAAGATAAATTTAGTGAACATCCATCATCTCATACAAATACAAAATAAAAGAAAAAGGAAAAAAGTTTTCTTTCCCTGTGATGAAAACTGTTAAGACTGACTTTATTTACAACTTTCATATGCAGCATACAGCAGTATTAATTATATTGATCATGTTGTACCTCATATCCCTAGTGCTTATTTATCTTAAAACTGGAAGTTTGTACCTTTTGATAACCTTTATTCAATTCCCCCTACGCCCTACCTTTCCACTTCTGGTAACCACAAATCTATCTCTTTTTCTATGAGTTGGTTCATTTGTTTGTTCTGAAGCATAACTGACCTACAACCTAACAAGCATGTTAGTCCAAGCTGCATAACATAGTGAGTCAATATTTCTGTACATTACAAAGTGATCAGTACACAATGCACACGAACTTAATACAGGCTTAATAAATGGGGGAATTGTGTCAGCATTATAATGTCAACATATCATTAGATCACATCTAATTATTACTAGCATGCCAATAGTGTGTGCCCTGAGAAAAAGTGGCTGGCCACAAAGTTCATGACAAGCCACAGGATATGGTGCTATGCATCACGTGCCTGTTTTCCCCAGCCCTTTGTCTTAGCTCAATTTAGCCACATGCAAAAGACTTAAGCCCAAGACCCTGAGCCAGAACCATCACCCAGGGCATCTCCACAGTTCGTGCAGAGTCAGCAGCTGCCTTTTCACCTGTAGCGTCCTTGTAAAGAACAGGATAAAGCGCCTGTGGGCCAGCAGCAGCCAGGAGAAACCTGGTCCCAGTCCAGATCTAAATCAGAATCTGTTTTTAATAAGACCCTCCAGTGGAGCATATGCTCGCTTAAGTTAGAGAAGCGCTGCTCTGGGAGGGATGGGAATGGGGAGGGGTTGTAATAGCACTAATAAATTATCTGAGATGTTTGACTATGGAAACTGTACTTAGAGGCTGTTAAAGGGGTGGGGAGAATCTGTGATGGGAACACAGAAAATCAAACAAAGGAAATAAGATCAGTCATTTAACTCCCTCCCTTCCCCATCTCCCCTAAGCACACACACAAAAAATTGCACAGGAAAATAAAAGTAATTACATACAAAACTTGGTTTCATAAAAATATAGCCACATAACCATGGTATAGGAAACACTGAACAAAAATGGCATACTTCTATTGGTGATCTAAAAGAATGGTGTTAGTCAGGGTTCTCCAGAGAAACAGGACCAATAGGATATATATTAAAGAAGGTTTATTAAGAAGGATAGGTTCATGTAATTATAAAGGCAAAGAAGTCCCACAATCTGCCCTTTGTAACCTGGAGGTCCAGAAAAACTGGTGGTGTAGTTCTGGTCCAAACATGAAGACCTGAGAAGCAGGGGAGAGAGTGATGTAAGTCCAGGCAGAGTCCAAATGCTAGAGAACCGGAAGTGCCAACATCTGAGGGCAGGACCTGGAAGTTTCAGATCAGACAAAGAGCAAATTCACCCTTCCTGCATCTTTTTGTTCTATTTAGGCCCTCAAAGGACTGGATGATACATACCCACCTGCATTAGTGAGAGCAATTTCCTCACTTACTAATGCAAATACTTATCTCTTCTGGCAATATCCTCACAACATAGCCAGAAATAACACTTTACCAGGTACCTTGTAGTCCTTAGCCCAATCAAGGTAACACATGAAATCAACCATCACAAGAACTAAATCATCACTGACCATACTAGAGCATCAAAAAGTAATATCTAAAAAGTAATTCATCAAGAAATAGCAACATAAATTGTTCTTCTTGAGAATGAATACTAGATAAATACCAGATAAAGCAACAAAACATTTGAAAAGGCTGTTTCTAGGGAATGAGGACGCATACAGTGAGACTGGTGATTTTCTTATAAGCTCTTTATACTATTGATTAAAAAAAAAAAAAGCTTGGTATGGATGACCTTGACAGAATAGAAACTGACTGTTTCTTTTTTTTTTTAAATGCTAGTGGTTACCTCAGTAAAATCCAGTTGGAGGTCAAGTAAGACAAGGGTGAGAGTAATCATTGGCTCTGACTAGTTTATAATATCAGGAAATTTGAATGGCGTGTGACGAAAAGCGGAGTGGGGTGGGGAGAAGCCCTTCTATTTTTGCATTCAATTTGCTCTTATACAGAGCACATCACATTCTTCAGCCCAAATGGTTTCATGTCTAAGAGAAAAAATTTATGTGTCTAGTCTCCAGAACAGCAGGAAATTGCTCATAGCAGCCCCACATAACAAAGGCACCCCACAAACAATGGGAGTCATGACAGGTGGGGGCATTTAGAATCTCTGTTCGCTGATGGAGCCTGGAAAATTCAGAGATCCTGTCCAGCGTTGTTGGTTTCTGTTGAAATGACTCAGATATTATTATCCAACTGGAACCTTGGCTGCCACATAATAGTTTGAGTTCTATTAGCTGTCTATTTCCTGGCTCCTTTCCTTCAGTCTAGCTCTCTTAGGTGAAAATAAGTTCTTCCCCCTCCCCTCTTCCCAAATTATTATTAGATATTTTGACAATGCAGAGCAAGGGAGAGAAGTCTAATCAGAATGAATTAAGGAGAGGAAACTCATCAGTGATATTTGTGAAAGTTAAGCACAAACGAAAGCTGAAAATGAGGTGGGTACATCTCAAACTAGGAAAGCCAAGGACTGGTTGGTGTGATTTAAGCTGCAAATTCTACTTCAGTCTATATGCTGATAAGAGATCAGAGAGTATGAACTCAAAGAGCTCAGTTTAGGAGGGGAAGAGAGACTTGGAAACAAAAGACAAAAATAAATGCATGTGCATCTCAGAGTAGGATTCAGGTCACGTTCATGCCAGCAAAGAGGGATCAGGAAGTTGTCCATGTCACAGGATAAACCTGGCCCATCTTCCTGGAGAATCGATTTCAGCTGGAGGGGGTAAAGTCTAGTCAGAGTCACATTTCTTTTGAAATTTCACATTTAATGCAGTAAAATGTTTTAATTTACCTTAAATGTTATGATAAGACTGAAGACTTTAGAAGTGTTTCTCACGTGAGCTAGCCAATGCTGGGAGACTAGGGAGAAAAGGCAAAGAGAAAGGAAGCAGGAAGGCCACTAGATCTTATAGCATTTTCTTGACCAGATTAAGGTGCTTGAACTGGATACTGGGGTCACTAAGCAGACATGCAGACATTTTTAAGCAAAATGACAAGATCAGATTTGTATTTGAGAAAATTCATTCTCCTGGCACTCGGGCATATCCACTGAAGGAAATAACTTTTTCTTTTCTTTTCTCTTTTTTGAGCAGTTCTCTTTTGTTGGTCTTGATCACAGTCTCAATTAAAAGGAAAAGAACAAATGAGTGGTGAAGGGTTTTTGCCACAAATATAATACAGAGCTGATGTTTTCAATTTTTAAAAAATTCACACATATTGATTTTTTTAAAAAAAAAGCACCACTCTGTCAAAAAAAAAAGGCAATTACTTGAAAAGTTTACTTCCAGAATATATTAAAATATATAAATATGAAAAATGACCAACCTCACTATCATATTAATGCATAATAAAGTAATAATTTGGTCAGTTTCATCCAGCCCATTAGTGATGAGGAGGAAGAACAGACCTCAGTGCTGGTGAGAAGGACATTTCCACTGATGGTGTGATTGGATTGACATTTCAGGAAGAAGCTTTGACAGTATGTTCATACCCTTTGGCCTAATGGTGGTATTTCTTGGAATTCAGCAGAAAGTGTATCAGTAAGTTAACAAAGATTTGGACAAAGACTTGTGTATAAACTGCACTATTTATAATAGGCAAAAAACCCAAGATGTGCTGTGATCTCAGGAATTATAGGAACCTTCAATATGATATAATATAGCTATTAACAGTGTTGCAAATTACATAAAAGTGTTAGTTAGTCGCTCAGTCATGTCTGACTCTTTGTGACCCAATGGACTGTAGCCTGCCAGGCTCCTCTGTCCATGTGATTCTCCAGGCAAGAATACTGGAGTGGGTAGCCATTCCCTTTTCCAAGGCATCTTCCCAACTCAGGGAACGAACCCTGATCTCTGGCACTGCAAGCAAATTCTTTATGGTCTGAGCCACCAGGGAAGCCCAAATTATATAAAAGTATATCAAATTATAGAAAGCATCAGTTCTATCACTGGAGGCTATCATTACTTGTTGACATTATGAGTGATTTCTACCTTTAAAAATACATATCTTTAAAATGTTTTCTATGACAATAAGGGGTTTAACCCAAAACAGGGAGTTGTAGGCCTCATAAATTGCTTTTAGGGAGGTAGCTTTGCAGAGAGGCAACTCTGGGCCCTGAAAACTGAATCATACCCATGCATTCTCAGCCTATCTTTAGTTTTCAGTTCATATAAATAATAATAGAATAACAACTTCCCCTCTTCTAAATCCCTATTATATGCTAAGCACTTAACATACTTAATCTCATTTAATCTTTGCAACACTACTCCAAAGAAGGTATTATTAACAATATTTCCATTTTAGAGATTAAAAATGTGAGGATTGGAGATGGCCCAAGGCTTTGCATCTTATTTTAGTGTTTTCTTAAATCCTCTTTCTTTTTCACTCTGTCCCCTTCTGTAAAGATTATCAATGCATATCCTAATTTCTAAGCTGAAGACCACAAATCCATAGACCCTTCTTCCCTCTGGAACTTTTTTTTCCCCCAAAGTAAATACATCAGGGATGAGGAGGGAGTGTGTTGGGGTGGAAGGGTGCGGGGAGGCAGGCTTTCCTGAGAGTACTTCCCCCTTCCTTCTCCTTTAACTTTTGCCAATGGGGCCACAACCAGCTTTCTCATTTGGTAGCAGAAGCTTGATGGTGCCTTTTCCTCCAATATCAGAGGTCAGTATCTGGGATTATTCTCAACCCCTGAGAGAGCCAGCAGCCAGAGTCATTTTCTCTTTGCTGGGCTCCTTCCTCCCTAGTCCCAGGCCCCCTACTCCTCAAGCCCTTTAGCTCTCTTCAGCTCCCCTTTCTTGTTCTGTCTCCTCCAGCCTTTCTTTTTTCCTGCTCCTGCTTATTTCCCTGGTCTCCATCTCTGCCTCCATCACTGTATCTTTATTATCATTGCTAAAAGCAGATGTCAAATTATTGTGTTTGAAAAAAGAGATTTTTTTGACACAGTGGCTCCAAGACTTGTCTATTTATAATACATGAAACCGTTAATGGGTACTATGCATCACAATTGCCTTCTCCTAAGACTCTCTTGGGCGCTTAGGGCCCATTTTGCTGTTTTGGACAGACATGACTGGCTAACCTGTGTGGTTAGGTACTACCTAACCTGGGTGGTAGGTGGATGTGTGCTGACGGCAGCCTGGACTGAAAGTCTACCCATAGCAGAAGGAGAGGAGGAAGCTTAAGGTGCAAATGATGCTTTCCAAGTTGAAAAGAACTGCTGGGAGGATGCAGGAGCACGGTGTCTCAACAACCACTAGTTATTGCCTATTCTTTCATCTCTCCTAGGCTGAAGTTCCCAACAAACTCAAGCCCACCAGCATCTTGCTGCCCAGAAAGGTTGGAGATGGCAGTCTTTCCAAACTCCTGCCTCCCGGGGTGTCTGCTTATTTTCATTCTCCTCCAGCTGCCCAAGTTGGATTCTGGTAGGTCCGGAAACCATCAGATTTGTTCTTCAAATCCCTTTTAGGCTGGAAGGGGTTGGCAGGCCTAGACTAGGAGATAAGTAGGAAGAGGGTTTGAGCTGAGTAGAGAGGGAGCCGCAAATTATCTTTCTGGGTGGAATTTGTTTCAATGATGTCCTGTCTTTTTCTCTCAATTATAGGATAATTTCTAGCCTACAAGCTTGAAATTTCTCAGTAATTGTAAGCAATCCCATTTGGCTGTCCTTAGCGACTTCCCCAAGGGCCCAGATGGACTCCCTGAAGCTGTAGTGGGAGAGTGCCGTTCATTGGGATCCTTGTCTGTATCAGTCCTCAACTCCCACCTCCACATTCCGTCCGACTCTCTTGGTGTTTTGGCAGCTCGTTTTGACGTGATCGGACCCCTGGAGCCCATCCTGGCGATGGTGGGTGAAGATGCAGAGCTGCCCTGTCGCCTCTCCCCCAACGTGAGCGCCGAGGGCATGGAGCTGCGCTGGTTCCGGGAGAAGGTCTCGCCCGCGGTGTTCGTGAGCCGAGAAGGGCGAGAGCAGGAGGGAGAGGAGATGGCTGAGTACCGGGGAAGAGTGTCGCTGGTGGAGGACCACATCGCCGAGGGCAGCGTCGCTGTGAGGCTCCAGGAGGTCAAAGCCTCTGATGATGGGGAGTACCGATGCTTTTTCAGGCAGGACGAAAACTACGAAGAGGCCATCGTGCATCTGAAGGTGGCTGGTGAGTGGATGGGTCTTGACCTTCTCCAGTGACTCCATGCGAGATAATATTTTCCTGTGGCTCTGTTACTTTGGAAACCATCAGACTTGTTCCCCAAATCTGTTTTAGGCTGGAAGGGGTTGGCAGGCCTAGAGTAGGAGATAAGTGGGAAGAGGGTTTGAGCTGAGTAGACAGGGAGCAGCGAGTGATTTTTCTTCTTGGAACTTTGTTTCCACGATGTCCTGCTTTTTTCTCTCAATTGTAAGATAATCATTTCCCCATGTTAATAATTAAATAAGTGTAAGAAGTAATGACTGTATAACATTCTCTTCTATTAGTGCCTCACAATTTGCTTGGTCAAAGCCCAAAATTGAGCATTTAAGTTGTGTCTGCTATTCACCATTTACAGTAAGGCTGTAGTGAGCAACCCCAATGCTTACTTGGTGGCTTAGTATCCAAAGATTGATTTTGTTAGATTGTAGAACATAGTGGCTTGTTAAGGGTCTTGACCTACCTACAAAAGTTTTGGTTTTGTTTCTTTTTTGCTTCAAGCCAGAATTCAGAGTGAAACTATAAGGAAATGGTAAACACTCAGAAACAAAGTACATTTTGAAGTCTGATTTTCCCACCTGGCACCAAGCAAGTTTCTTTCTGAGCTATATTTCCTACCGTAAAACTTGCCGAACAAGATTTTGCAAGAATGAAAAAAAAAAAAAAATCAATATAGGAACTTCCCTGGCGGTCTAGCACTTCCAATGCAGGGGGCATTGGTCAGGGAACTAAGATCCCTCATGCCTGGAATATGAGAAACTGCTTTGTGAATTTTAAAAGCATTATATATTTGTAAAATATTACTGTGCAATGTATATTGCTTTTTATGCATATATTCAAATAAAGATGAAGTTTGAAAAATACCTGGGTGAAATGCAGGTCGCTGTTTCATAACAGGGTGTCCCACATGGTAGCATCATATATAATTCATCTTTCCTTTTTAAGGAAGTTTCTTAAAGACTGGTTATAAAGCCCTAGAGATTTGATAGCATAAAACTGTCATTGTTACCTTTTACGAATGATAGACACCTTTGAGAATCTGCTGAAAATGGTGGCCCTTTTCATGAAAAGAATACACATTCTCACATATATACATAATATATGGAATATGACTTGGAATATGACTCTAAGCCAATAGTTGTTTCATCTCTGATAAGATATCTTCTTTTATGGAAACCTCAGTTCCTTTGTGTAGTAAAACATGGAGATGGGTCCCTTTCATTTCCAGTTCCTTTAGGCTTCTTTTTCTCAAACTATATAGCCCTATGGTTATAAGGCTCCCAGAAGGGTGTCCATTAAAGGAGTAAGGCGAAAAATAAATAAATAAATAAATAATAAAGGAGTAAGGCGCCTTCTTTCTCCATAGCTCTGGGCTCTGGTCCTCACATCAGTATGGAAGTTCAAGACAGTGGAGAGATCCAGCTGGAATGTACCTCAGTGGGATGGTACCCAGAGCCCCAAGTACAGTGGCGAACTCACAAGGGAGAAGAGTTTCCATCCATGTCAGAGTCCAGGAATCCTGATGAAGAAGGTTTGTTTACTGTGAGAGCTTCAGTGATCATCAGGGACACCTCCATGAAGAATGTGTCCTGCTGTATCCGGAACCTCCTTCTTGGCCAGGAGAAAGAAGTAGAGATTTCCATACCAGGTCAGTAAAACAGGTGCTAGGTTCCTTTTTGACACAGTTTCAGGGCAACATCACATGGGACATCTGCCCAGCCACAACCTCCTGGCAGACTTGTCTATTTTCCTCACCTTAAACTTTCCCCACCTAAACTCCTGCCCGCTGAGCCCCACCAACTTCACTAGAGATTCTGAAGGCATAAGTTTTATACGTAGATCTCACAGACATTCCAGATTTTTCATCTTAGAAGATGTATCTTAGATAGGAAAGTCTTCCAGATTTTCTTAGGAGATATATCTTGGAAAACCTTTGTCTCTGAAGGGTGTGGTCTTCCTGATTCAGAGCCTTCTGGATCTAGCAAAATTAGCTCTCCTCTTTCCATCCTTACCTCCCCCTCCTCCCTATCCCATCCTAGAGCTCTAAGTTTCCAGAGTCTTCACACTCTACCTCTGGTTCCTCCAGGAACTTTTCCTTATTCTTGGGTCATTGAGTCCCCTTCTGTTGCACACAGA